TGAACCAGTTTTTTTTTCAACTAGATAAGGATCCAGTTTGGAAAGTCAAAAAAACTGAAAACCTTGTGGCGTCTATTTTCCATCTCAGTATCTGTCAAGAAGTGTTGACAAGCATCTAACTCATTTAGACGCTGATCATTATCCTCCGCGTTTTCTAAGATTTCATTCAAATCAGCAACTTAATCACTCTTTTTCCTCGCTTTCAACACGTAATCTTTCTTGCAATGTTGTTGAAGTGAATAATAGCTTGGAAACTCTTTCTCACTTGATACACATTTTGTTGATTTGAGGTCGACTTTACAAGCTTCTTGTTCGTATGGAAACTCAACCCTGCTGGTTGAAAGTACAAAAATTACTTTCTGGACATGGAATAACTCCTAGCGCAAAACTCTCGCGATGTCGAGCGGCATCAACTCTCCTGTACTGTACTCTTTGCCACAGTCCTTGAATTTTACTTTCTCATTCATGTTGATTGACGGCATCTGAAAAAAAACTGTGAGGTTTATTATGTATCAAATTAAATAAACGTGTATGGCATCTACAATTTTGGGACATTTAAAATGTCGCAAAAAAAATTAATTCATCTTTACTATGATTTGCTTAAAACAATTGAAAAAAAATTCAATTGGTTAAACAAAATGCAGAGCGATTACTTTTAGCGTAAGAAATGAATGTGAAATGAGTTTTTTTAATGTTGCTTAGGGAAAATGAACCAATCAAAATCGAGTGTTCTTTTAGTAACAGTGTTTGTTCGAGATCAACCAATCAGAGTCCAGCTTTATTTAAAAAGATACCCTCATTATTTTTTAAAATTTTATCTTGATCTGAAAAATATCTATCCGAAATTGTTTGAATTTCTTTGTGCTACTGACAAGCAAAAACAAAACATTTCAAGTGGACTCCTTGTTGATGAGTGAGATGTTGACTCCTAACTTTCGATATTTTTTTGGACATTTAAATTGTATTAAATAGAGTTTTCGGACTACGTAACGGTAATTTAATAGAAACTTATTCAATCAAAGAGTTTACTCAATCAAAGAGTATCAAATTTTCAACTTAAGGCTGAATTACCCCTGACAAGGAGAGAAAAAAGTTGAAATTAGTCAAAAAAATGTATGATAATATATCACTCTTTTTTTCCCTACTCGATTTCCAAATTTATCAAAACTCCCCAGCAAAGTCGTCTTTTCCTAATTTTTTGAAAAGATTTTGAAAGTTCAAAATCCTGCATGATCAGGTTCGGAATAAGATTTCAAGAACTTTGCTTTTAAAATTTCATCAATTTCGAGCTATCCTCTGACATGTACTGGATTATCGACTCCAAATTTAACAGTTTCTCATTAATTATGTTCAAAAAACTCAATTGACTTGATCAGAAAATTTGCAGATTCTACTCGCTATAGATTTTTTTTGTGTTACTTATATCGGTGATATTTCTTATTTTTACAGCAACTAATTTGTGGCCATTTATTTTTGCGATTTCTATTTTTTGTTTTTCCTTACATATCTGGAAGATTTAATATCCTTAAAAGGTAAATTGTTCTCTGAATGGATACGACAACCAGAACAAAATTGAACTTTTTCTGATCGAAAACGACAAATTGTAAAATTCCCTTTGAGGGAACTTTTCTTCTGCTTGGATACGACTTTTAAATTTTTTTAACAGGAAGACGGATTTCTGATTAGACATAACTACTGACCAAATCTGGAAAATCTATTCTGATTGGTTAAACCCACTCATTTGAGTTGATGATACACCTCACTCTAAAAAAAAATCATTTTATTTTCAATTCAACTACCGTCAACTACCTCCTCTCTCATTTGTTAAAGTGAAACATTTTTAGCATCTTGTTGAAAAAACTGAAACTTTTTTTGCATTTTGTAGAAAAAAGTGAAAACTTTTTCGCAGCTTGTCAAAAAAATTGAAACACTTTTTGTTTTTTGTCAAACAAACTTTTTAGGAAACTTCAGGAAAATTTTGAACAAAAAATTGCATTTTTGCAGCGCGCACTCTGTTAAATTTAAGTATATTGGCGCTAAAGGCGCCTTAAGAAATTTTTTTGAGGTTTGTGAGCCAAAAATGAATGTCGTAAATTTATACCAAATGACTGCCCTTTGAAAAATTTTGGCAGCCAGAATTGAAAAGGGCAGTAACCCCCCTCCCCCCCTCCCCAGCCGACAAGGGGCAGTCCCCCCTAGCCGAGAAGGGGCAGTCCCCCCTAGCCGAGAAGGGGCAGTCCCCCCTCCCCCCCCCCCATTTCATTTTTTAAAAACTTTTTTTCGGATCATGTTAACTATTCCGCCCCCCCCCCCTCTATGGTACCTTGTAAAGAATCCCCCCCCCTATAAAACATATTTCATTTATGCTCAACTGGATTGGTTTTGTTGTTCTCAGAATTGTGTTCTGTCGCATTCCTATTGGTTGACGTTATTTCAATTCGCATTCCTATTGGTTGACGTTATCCTTGTTAACTATTCCCCCCCCTATTGCAATAGGGGGGGGGGGGGGCAGTCGGAACATTCAGGGCTTCGCCCTGATACGAGCAGTCGTTTATTTATTAATTTTGCTTCTTGTTCTAGATTCTGATTGATGAATATAGTAGTTGTCTACTTTATGACGTGTCTACTTTATTGACTTGTCTACTTGTTACCTCGAGGTTGTTAATTTGATCCTCCACTTTTGACGGGATTTTTTTCGTCATCTGAAATGCACTGATCTCTTTAAAGCCCTTCTCAACTTTGATTGTATTACGGAAGTTATCGTAAAATTTTATCTTGATCTGAAAAATATCTATCCGAAATTGTTTGAATTTCTTTGTGCTACTGACAAGCAAAAACAAAACATTTCAAGTGGACTCCTTGTTGATGAGTGAGATGTTGACTCCTAACTTTCGATATTTTTTTGGACATTTAAATTGTATTAAATAGAGTTTTCGGACTACGTAACGGTAATTTAATAGAAACTTATTCAATCAAAGAGTTTACTCAATCAAAGAGTATCAAATTTTCAACTTAAGGCTGAATTACCCCTGACAAGGAGAGAAAAAAGTTGAAATTAGTCAAAAAAATGTATGATAATATATCACTCTTTTTTTCCCTACTCGATTTCCAAATTTATCAAAACTCCCCAGCAAAGTCGTCTTTTCCTAATTTTTTGAAAAGATTTTGAAAGTTCAAAATCCTGCATGATCAGGTTCGGAATAAGATTTCAAGAACTTTGCTTTTAAAATTTCATCAATTTCGAGCTATCCTCTGACATGTACATCAAAATCAGAGCACTGGATTATCGACTCCAAATTTAACAGTTTCTCATTAATTATGTTCAAAAAACTCAATTGACTTGATCAGAAAATTTGCAGATTCTACTCGCTATAGATTTTTTTTGTGTTACTTATATCGGTGATATTTCTTATTTTTACAGCAACTAATTTGTGGCCATTTATTTTTGCGATTTCTATTTTTTGTTTTTCCTTACATATCTGGAAGATTTAATATCCTTAAAAGGTAAATTGTTCTCTGAATGGATACGACAACCAGAACAAAATTGAACTTTTTCTGATCGAAAACGACAAATTGTAAAATTCCTTTTGAGGGAACTTTTCTTCTGCTTGGATACGACTTTTAAATTTTTTTAACAGGAAGACGGATTTCTGATTAGACATAACTACTGACCAAATCTGGAAAATCTATTCTGATTGGTTAAACCCACTCATTTGAGTTGATGATACACCTCACTCTAAAAAAAAATCATTTTATTTTCAACTCAACTACCGTCAACTACCTCCTCTCTCAACTGTTAAAGTGAAACATTTTTAGCATCTTGTTGAAAAAACTGAAATTTTTTTAGCATTTTTGCATTTTGTAGAAAAAATTGAAAACTTTTTCGCAGCTTTTTCGCCCCCCCCCCCCTCCCATGGTATCCTGTAAAGAATCCCCCCCCCCCCTATAAAAACATATTTCATTTATGCTCAACTGGATTGGTTTTGTATTTCTCAGAATTGTGTTCTGTCGCATTCCTATTGGTTGACGTTATTTCAATTCGCATTCCTATTGGTTGACGTTATTTCAATTCGCATTCCTATTGGTTGACGTTATCCTTGTTAACTAACCCCCCCCCCCCATCCCTATTGCAAAAAGGGGGGGGGCAGTCGGAACATTCAGGGCTTCGCCCTGATACGAGCAGTCCTGTTTATTTATTAATTTTGCTTCTTGTTCTAGATTCTGATTGATTGATTAATATAGTAGTTGTCTACTTTATGACGTGTCTACTTAATTGACTTGTCTACTTTTTACCTCGAGGTTGTTAATTTGATCCTCCACTTTTGACTGATTTTTTTCGTCATTTGAAATGTACTGATCTCTTTAAAGCCCTTCTCAACTTTGATTGTATTACGGAAGTTATCGTAAGTCACTAAGCCGTACTCTGTTGTTGGAACAATCTACTCATTGCACTCCTCTCATCCGATTATATCTCTGCGTACGATTTACTCAAACACAAACACACATAATAACAGTGAAAAAATGCAGCGAGCCGACAGACAATATAATCGAAATTTCTTAACGGCCCATTTGGGAAAAAGTTTATTCAATTTTGACTTTTTTTGATTTCCTTTATTGAAAGTGGGAAACCAATACAGCTAAAAATAATACAATTTGAATTATTAAATGGAAAAATTCAAATTTTATATCGTCCAAATCTGTCTGCTGAAAGAAAATGCTTTCATTAAATACATGTAGCACGGTTACGTAGCAGTATTTAGACAACCGCGTAGTAGTATTTCTCCTACTCATCAGTAAGCAGACAAATACTCCAAAAAAAAACAATCCGAATCGAGACAAGGAAGAAATTAATAAATAATTATCATTTATTGATATTGTGGAAGTTTGCTGTCTTTTCTCGATTCTGATTGGTTAAAACAGTATTTGTCTGCTTACTGACGAGTAGGAATACGCGGTTGTCTAAATACAGACCGCACTCCATGTAGCACATTTCTGTATGAGACTGAATAGCGAATACAATACGTTCACATGTTTAAGGGACGGAGAAATAATACATGTCCTCCTGCAAGCAACGGGAAATTTCACATACAATTCGCTGAGAAAAAATAAGGTAAGATCCGCTTTTGTTTGTTTATTACAATTCACATGGTAACCGGTCTGAGAGAAGAATGGTCCAAGAGCAGGCCGAGCCTAAGACTCGATCAACAAAAAGCAGCTGATTGGTCAATACGGAATAATTTCTCAACTCTGAAACTGAAACCCAAAAAAAATCAAACACCTTTCACGCGTCAATACCTTTCAGATGGTATAAAAAACGCCAAAGTCGAAACATAGTATTCACAGCAAACATGTAATAGTGGGGTCAAAAAATGGTCTGCTAATTGCAGCTTCGGTTTATTAGTTCGCTTTGCTCATGGACCATTCTGCTCAGTGCACCCCCTTCAATTCACATGCAACTGCACGCGTAAAATACTTTCAAGTGATGAGTTTTTTGAAACATTTCGACTGTTTCGCGGCGTTTTTGGTTGAACGCAATAAAGGTACTAATAGAGTGGTCCCTCGAAAAAGCAACTTTAATAAAAAAAGGTCCCACATGCATGTAATAATTTTGAAAACTAATTTTTGTGTGTAAATTATTCATTTTAAACATCATGTGAAAGTTGTTGAGTCAAGTTTTTGCGTAATGACCTGTCTTTCGCCAGAAGTTGCAGGTCGCGCTTCTCGCGGGGCATCTTGTCATGTGCTCTGCTGGGGTAAAATTGGTCTGGTCGCAATTATAGCACCTTTTATTGGTGCGTACCCACGGAGCCGCATTCCCGGATAGCCGAAAAAAAAATACCTCCGCTTTTAATTAATTTAAATCGTAAAACTCTTGAGACGCATTTTGATTGGACAAAAAATGCCTCAAAATTTTGCAGCCTGTTAGCTTAGAAAATTTTGAACATTTTTAAGAGATTGGATTGGCTAATTTTTTTACTCTCATTTAATTAATTAACAACAAAAGTCTGATTACTACAGGGTTTCGACACCCCTCACCTACCAGAGGGTCCCTCTCTTTGGTAAGTTTTATTATATCCATTTTCGGCCCACAAACCCTAAAAATTTTTAGTATATGCTAACTTTAAAGGGGAGCGCGCGCTGTAAAACGCAATTTTTTTGGATAAAATTTTTTCAAAAAAAAAACAAAAACGGCGTTTCGGCCTGTTTTTTAAACATTTAACCGTTTTTTAAACGCGTTTATTTTTTTGCCGGGGGCATAGTGGGGTAAATAATGGTAGGGGGAGTGGGTAATTGGGAGAAGGGTAAGGGAGTGGGAAGGAAGAAAGATGGGACTAAGTGTGTGGGTGCGGGGGGGGGGGGGGGGGTGGTAGAGAAAGGGGGGTACTCCAAATAAAACAAAACAATGTCTTTAAGTAAGTTTGTATGATCTCTTTAACTATTGTCCCCCCCTATCGTAACTAGTAACGAAACACCCCCCCCCCCTTAATAAGAAATGGGTAGGGGGGTAATTGTTAAGTAGATCCAAAATTTCGGTTATCCGGGAACGAATTTTTTTTCGGCTATTCGGGAATGAATTCATTTTTCGGCTATCCGGGAACGAATTGATTTTTCGGCTCCCCCGCCCCCTCGGAATTCCGATCGTCCTCAGTACGGTCCACGTCCGCGTTGTCTACTGTTCCTGTATCCGCCACGGATTGTCCCCACCGGTTCCGTTTTGATCTGAAACGCTCCTCCACCGGTAGTGCTGCTTGATGGCGTTCCCCCGGTTGTTGATACGTACGTTTTCGCGTAATTGTCTCCGCGCTCGTAAGATAGCGCTATACGGTACACCTCCTCTGGTGTTTTTGTCGATCGGCGTAATTCGTTTTGGGCCTCTCTGTTATTCCTGTTCACAATGAATATGTCTGGTAGGATCCTGGTCTCCAATGCTCCGAAGTTACAGCGATTTTTCTCATCCACCTCTTCTGGTAGGCCCTTAACTTGGGCCGTTGTTAGCGTAGCTGCATAGCAGAATTTTTTCTGGTTAATACTATGTTTAGCCACCATTCTCCATTGAAACCTATTGAACCAAAACTCCCATAGCATTAGTGGCTCCGCGAACTTAGGGTGGCTCCGCGATTAATTCGACGATGATAACCAGAACGACGTAATTCCCAGTGGGTTCTTTCCCCAACTGATTGCGCCATGTCAAGGCAGAGATTTCGATAGTGTAAATTTCAAAACGAGAGATGTAACTGCAACTCATTAAGTTAGTCGGAGACAATGAAATAGAGGTCAACCAAAGGTGACAGGCAACTCCGAACGTTGAATACCAGTTAGCGCCCGACAGATAGATTGAATGCATTTGGAATAAAGAGAATAGAACTAAACTGGACTCTGAACTAATTTCATCACTATGACAGAAACTTTTCAGATTTAAAATCATAATTAATGTGTTGTTTATATCAAGAAATAAGCTGGCTTTTTTGTTCCGACTTTCGTAACGAAAGTAACGGATTATTTGTGCTCGGGTGGGTATTTTTAAGACAAACTTCGACTTTGTAATTAGACATTTTTGAGGGAATTTTTTAATCATTTAAAAGGTATTGTTGTCCTGAGCTTAGATTCGAAAAATTTTTTAACCTGTGATTATTCGTAAAGTTATGGGGGTTTTAAGATCGCCATTTTGGCCAATTTAGCACACTTAGCGCGCGATATATATTTCGCGCTATTAACGCGTCAGCGGAGATTTAATCCGTCCTAGAAATCGTTCGAAATTGGTTGAAGGAAGCTTATTTGCCATAACTGATTTTTTACTAGGAGTAAAATCTATCACTTTGTACTTTATATCGCGAATGGGGGGATAATTTTCGCAGAAATCTCAAACTAAAAAAAATGTATATATGGTTTTTACATTTAGTTTTTTATGTTATCACTGCTCCATAGACCTTAAAAGGCAGTCGAAACATTCAGGGCCTCGCCACGAGAAGATTTGTTTCCTCCCCCCCCCCTCGCCCACCTGCAAATGTTTCCAAGTAATTTTTTTTAAAACTTCTTGAATGTAATGAAAATTGACAGAACCACTAATTAGGCCATGACACACATACTTTGTATTCATAATTAACCTTGTAAAACGGCTCGTTAAACCATAGAATTGATGTTCGTGTCAGGTTGGGATGGGGGCTTGGGAAGAGTCAATATACTCGCTTCAACTTGTTTTTCGATCTAGTAACCATAAATGGGTAGGCTTGTTTGTCATCAAAACACATTTTTGGCGATTTTTTAAAAAAGAATTCATCAAAAAGGGTGAGGGGGAGGTTAAAGACGAAATAAAAAAACATAAAGTTTGTTTAAAAATATACTGAGACACGTTTGGAATGGCGAAATTATAATTATTTAACGATTTGAGAGCTCTAGGTGTCTTGTTCTCAAGGGACCTGGTTTTTCAAGCGACCTGTCATACCCCAATGTATGAGCGATGTATAATCCTTAATCCAAACGGATATGCATACAAACAACGCAACGTAAAACAACTGGTTAGTAAAAATTTAACTCATGCTCTGAAAGCTATTGCTTTCACCTATGAATGTCACTTTATCAAGGTCATACGACCAGTATAATTCATAGTACAATTCATTAAATGTTTGCCATTATCCAGTGGAATGACATTCCCTTAATTGAATTTTTTTCCCGGAAAATAGAGTTATAGAGTCCCCACTGGACTATCTGTATAGCCCTTATGGTACTTGAATTTAACAGTCCCGTGGGACTGACTCTGATCCTCTTTTTAACACGTTTCTTCCTCTTGGGGCTTAACCGATTCTTTTCCCTCAACTTCTGTTTTGTCCTCCGGCGCTATATTGGTCTCTGTCACTGTTTTCTGTTTTGTTCCTTCTTGTTGTTTTTCTGTAGTGTTGAATTCTTCTGTTTCCTTTTCATTTTCAATCTCGGTTTCCTATTTTCCGTATCCAGTACGAATAATACTTCTCTCGTGTTTTGGTTGTCGCGGTTTGGCTGAAAGCTGGAGATACTGAGTCGACAACGTCTTTTTTTAACTGCTGGACTTGGGTTTTATTCCCTTGAGGAACTTTACACACCCCTGGAACTCGGGCGACTTCTCATTGAACCCATCTCCTATATTAAATTTTTAATATTCGAGTTGTTCCCTGTTGACTGTTTGTCAGGCGACTCAAAAATGAACTACTTTTTCTTGTCATCCTTGATCCAGTTTATATGTACTGGGTTTCCAAGTGCTCCTGTGAGAGCCGATTCCCTTTTCTTGGTAGATTTTTTCGTCGCTTCTGTATAGATAAAACTAAAAAACAACATGAAGGAAGCATTTTAAATTTATCAATGGTAAAGGAAGCTTTACCATTTTGTCATTTTTTCAACAAAAAACATTCAAATTGGGCTTTAAGGGCAGTCGGAACACTCAAAACTTCGCCTTGATATACGGACAGTCTTTTTGTGGCTCTTTTTTCTCCGACCAAATCTCATGCAGAAAAAAAATAACGACCGAATTGTGTTCATAATGAGCTTATTCTTTAGCTCATAAATTTTTTACGTTTTTTGCTTCCAATTAACTATAATTATTTCTAACCATGTTACAACAGAATCAATGTTACGGAGTACTTTCTATTTCCCTGCTCCATGGCATATGGATAATTGACACATCAATGTTGCAACAGAGAATGAGTTGAATGCAATGAGTTCAAAACTTTTTTTTTCATAATTGCATTTTTTGTATACTTTTTAAAAGCGTCTTTACACCTTCTTTATGTGCAAAAACACTTTTCTGGATCTAAATTAATCATTGGTTAGTCTTGATAGACGTATCTTCAAATAAGGTAATTCACGCTTTATTTTTTCCGACCAATTTTACCAAAAAAAAACATCAAGTTGTCTAAAATAGGTGTATAAGCGTCTTACTTAGCTCTGTAAATTTTAATAGGCGGTTTGTCTCAAAATTAGTATAATTGTTTACAGACAGCTAGCTGTATTATATTAAATTTTAGGGAGCGTTTTCTATTTCCTTGCTCTATGGCATTTGGTACATTGACACATCAATGTTGCAATAGAAAATGAGTTGAATGCAATAAATTCAATGGAAAATTTTTATCATAATTGCAA